CTGATGTTACTTCATCTACTCATCAGAAAGAAGCTTTATCCCCCGGACTTGACTTTTGTGTTCCTCGTATGCAATTTACGGATTTAGCCATCCATGCTGAGTTCGAAAACTTGTACGATCAACTCAAACCTCTCGTCGCAACATCCGATGAAGATCGAGGTTGGTTTAAAGGCAAGATGGTAGATATAGCTCATCAGTTTTTAAACAACAACCCCAAAGAGAAAAGCATTTTAACTTCCCAGCATTTCAAGGCCTTGAAAGAGCTACGGGAAAACCTTAATATAATAATTACGAAACCTGATAAAGGTCCTGGAGTCGTCATCATGAACAAAAGTGACTACAAATCCAAAACGTTACCTATTCTTGATGATGAAAGTAAATTCAGCCGTGATCCCTCTTCAGAAGATATTCAGTTGTTGCAAGGCACAGTAACAGCTAATCTAGTGAAACTTCTTGGTCTAAATGCTATAAGTAAAGATACATTTAACTCTTTAAAGCCATCAGAATGTAAATTCCCGCATTTGTATGGTTTACCAAAAACACAGAAATCCAATAATCCTCTACGTCCTACATTGTAAATGTGCAGATCCCCAACACATAGACTTGCTAAATGGTTAGTAGAATTATTGCAAACAGTCGAAACACAATTCTGTAAGGATGTATTAAAAGATACGTTTGAACTGGTTAATTATCTTGATGATAATAATATTATGAATAAACATATGTACTCTTTTGATGCAATCTCCTTATTCACTAACGTGCCTTTACTTTAAACAATTGACATTTTGTGTTGTGATTATATTTCCACACATAGCTTTTTCATCGCGTTTCCTATACCTTATTTAAGGGATCTATTACTTCTATGTACTGGCTATGTTAGATTCACATTTGAAGGCGACTGCTTCCTTCAGGTCGATGTGTCACTGTGAGAGGTCCGCTGGGACCCCTTTTAGCAGATATCTATATGCCGCATGTTGAAAGTTTATCGGAAAACATAATCGAAAATGCACCACTTTATAGAAGATATCCCCACGACATTGCAATCATAAGTGATAAGCCTTGTTCTGCCACCTCAATTTTAAATCGAATGAATGGAGTTCAGTATAGCATATCACCTACCTCTGTAGAAGAGGAAGCTAATTGTTTATCTTTCCTAGATATATTACGTAGTCGAGGACCTGATGGATAAGTAAAACGATCTGTTTATAGAAAACTTACCTGGACAGGAAAGTATCTTCATTATCACAGTTTCTGTCCTGTTCGGTGGCACAGTGGTTAGGACTCTCGCCGACCATGCACATGGTCCGAGGTTCCAGCCCCTGCCGGCGCACACTCGATATCTATGGTCGGCCTGCAAAATTTGGGCTACCGATATCCATGCTGAAAATTCCATACTTGTACTGAAAAATACGGTGTGGCATCAAGCTGTAACCAAAATAAAAATAGATAAATAAAGAAGAGCCCTAGTAAGGTGCCTCTTCAGTAGAATTCAACGAATATGCACTGAAGACACACTCGATGAGGAAGAAAGAAAACTGACACAAACTGTGGTTGATAATAATTATCCAGACAAGTTCATTAGGAGATATAAAGCAGTCAGAACACCAAGACCCACTCTACAACTCGCCCCTAAGAAAGACGTGTACATCAATCTACCCAATATGGTACATCGTAGCAGCTTGATAACTAGACAAAGATTGGATGCTGCTGTTAGAAAGACTTTTTATGCAGCTAAGATCATAATAATTCAGAATGTGAAGCCGATATATCCATTTAAGCCCTTAGAACACGTGGAAAATGATTTCACACCCCACTGTACTTACCAATTTGAATGTACGTGTGGGCAAGCCTACATGGCAAAGACTCATCGAAGTAAGGGCTTCAGCGCATATTCCTAAATGGTTTGAGAAGCAAATAGAATCCCTAGAAACCGTTAATGGTGAGAACAGGAGACCCATTGTGAAACATATTATAGAGACAGGACATAAAATGATGTTTACACATCTTCTAAACCTATCTATAGAACTTTTTAGGGGCGTATCCTGTCGACGCCAAGTAAAATCCTGAGTCGCATCATCCTGGAGAGAATCAAGGACGCACTGGATACAGAACTCCGACCAGAACAAGCTGGATTCAGGAAAGGCAAATCATGTTCTGACCAAATTGCAACTCTACGCATTATCATCGAACAAAGCATGGAATGGCAATCAAATCTCTACCTCAACTTTATAGACTTTGAGAAGGCCTTCGACAGCGTTGACCGCGAAGTAATTTGGAAACTACTGGAGTACTACGGCGTACCCCAAATATTCATCAACCTTATTCAACAACTGTACGACAACGGCATATGTCAAGTGATCCACAACGGAAAACTCAGTGAGGCGTTTGGAGTAAACACAGGAGTCAGACAAGGGTGCTTATTATCACCAATGATATTCCTAATTGTGGTGGACTGGATTATGCGTCAGACAGTGGGAAATGAGAAGACAGGGATATCCTGGACCGACGTGAAGAACCTAGAAGACCTGGATTTCGCGCGTGGATGATTTATGTTTGATGTCACACAAAATCGAAGACTTACAAGCGGAAACCGACAAACTGGTCGAAGAAGCAGCCAGAGAAGACAGGACTCCAGGTGAACATAGACAAGACGGAGGTTATGATAATAACCAACAACAACAGCAACATCCAGAGCCAATCACCATCAATGGGAGGGATTTGAAAGAGGTTAAATCATTTACTTATCTAAGGGGCATTGTCTCAACTACAGGAGGAACGGACGAGGATGTCAAATCGAGAATCGGGAAGGCGAGAAACACATTCATCAACCTGAAACCAATCTGGAAATCTTCGTCACTCAGCCTGCATCAACAACAAAATTCGGATTTTCAATACAAACGTCAAGTCAGTTTTGCTTTACAGATCAGAAACTTGGCCAGCGGCTCACAAAGAATGAGCATTTCCAACAGGTTGCAGACCTTTATCAACAACTGTCTTCGCTCCATACTGAAGATTAGATGGCCGGAAATAATCACAAACAAGAAGCTGTGGGAACAAACGAAACAGGAACCGATTGCCCAACAAATATGCAGGAGGAAGTGGAGATGGATTGGACACTCGCTGAGGAGGCCGTTGGGTGACATCGCGCGTCAGGCCAACGGTCGAGTGGAACCCGAAAGGGAAGCGGCGAGTGGGACGTCCAAGGGTGACATGGAGGAGATCGTGTGAAGAAGAGTTGAAACAGCATGGACTAACATGGATGCAAGTGAAAAGTACAGCACAAGACAGAAGCAAGTGGAGACGTGCAGTTGAAGCCCTATGTTCCACTAGGAACCCAAGGGAACAATAATAATCCTAAAGTTTGTGGAAGCCCTAGTAATTAGGAAGCTTAAACGACGTTTATGCATTCAAAAACAATTCGTCATCACACTTAACCTACTTTCCTTGGTAAACTTAGTTTTGATACCAGCCAGGGTAGATGTACTATTACCTCTCTTATTTGGTTTAGTGGTCTTCATTGTTATTATGACCTTCAATATGTCCTTTTAACTTGACCTAAATTTATTTTCTCACCTCTTAACTCTATATTAATTTCATATATATTCCTAGGAGTTATATTTATTGACTCTCAACTGTATCACTCGGCCAATATACAATCAGTTATCCATTCAACCTAAGGGGAACGTTTTTGATTAATGGAAAAACTATTAATGATCATTAGTTTTAGGTTTCTGTTCGGATTGGATTCGAGTTTTTACTAAACAGTTTATTACATAAATATTAAATTGTCAACTTAAAGTGACCTCAGATAGTGTCACCAATGGTTTCAGTGCATATGGTGTACATTATAAAGTGTTGCAGTATTAATGACAAAAGAGTTATTGTAGGCATGATGATAATACAGCGATTTCACTCATTTCTCTCTAATAAAGATTTAATCTGAGGACTTTTGTCTACTGGTTGGTTAGTGTGGGTATATTTTGAAAAAAACCTTGTGTATCTGAAATGATATCAGTAAAGTTTAAATCAGATTTGACATTAGGAGAATTTAGACATCAGGAAGCAATTATCTAGATGTGACCCGCAGGCTTAAGCACTTGCGTATCTACCAGTGGGTCCCGGTATGAGTCCGCCTTTACCTAAATCAGCCTGAGCAAGTTGGTGGTATCACCAGCCATCACACAATATGTGATCCAATGCCTAGTCCATGAGAAACATGCTACCAGCCACTGAGTTCCTTCCAGATTCTATGTCTAAAAGACAAAATGAAAGTCATGTCTGCCGACAACACCAGTGCTACTGAAACTTCAAAGCTCAAACTAGAAACCCTATGTTCCACTCGGAACACAACGGACTGAAAAATGTATGATCTCACTGGTACACCATTCAGCCAACGATGAATACCGACCATACAAATAGTCATTAAAAGTGTGCTAAATTCATTCCCTCGTAAACTGTCACTGGAGATTACTTCTAGGCTAGTGTTATAAACTTAACCTGAAAATACCCAATTTCCGGAAGGAAGAAAACTACCATGACATCCATATTTCAAGGCACAAAATTTTTACCACTATAATTTTACTAGTGAAATTATCTTCCGCCTGTGATGTTATAAAATAGTGATGCAGATTTGTCCTTTACATTTAAAGGAATCAAAAAAACAGTAGAAAAAAACCAGACATATCACTTAGGAAGTTACAATTCACTTTCTATCACTAATCTAAAATTTCGTTTGGTGACAGTTATGCAAGAACCTATCATCTTATGATTCACGTGTAAATGACCAATACACACACGATATTTACAAAACCATGACTTCCCGTCCATTAATATCAAAGCCATCACGCTAATAAGAATATGCTTGCCACCCACGCTTGAGTTTTGACCAATGAAAACATAATCCAAATATTGACCTTTTTTAGTTGACCAATCAGTGATTAATCATTTCCCTAATCCTTTCACCCAATGGCTTATATAATTCATGAAAGCTGTTTAGTACTGTTTACATCATTCTAATGGGTGTCATCGCTGCATCACAGTCGACATGATCGGCTCAGAGTTTATTGATTACCTCTCCAAGTTTCAGGTTGCCACTTATGTTGGTGTTGAGGATTTTGCGGACAAATTTAATTTCATCATAACAGTTATGATTTTAATGCTTTGTGCCACAATTGTTACCGTGAAACAATATATGATGAAGCCAATTTCATGTTATATGGCAACAGATTTAGGCGGGAAAAATCTATTGGATTATGTAGAAAACTACTGTTGGGTCCAGGGTACAGTCCCTATCACATATTCAGGAAAAGTACCAGAAACAGATGAAGGCTGGGAGGAATTAGAAAAACACAAACTACGTGAGTTCTACAGTTTCATCTTTTTTTATTCACTATTTTTACAGTAATAAGGTGTTTATATATACTGGTCGTATATAATGTATTCATACTGTCCTAAACTTTTTTCAAAACATCATTATGTATTGTATAAAAGTTAGATTATCCAGTGGCTTAATGTGAAAGTGCGTTTTGTGCTAGCAACTTATAGTTCAGCTATTCTCATTCCTATTTCCCATTGTGATTTTTATTACTATAGGCATGCTTTGTATACTGTTTTACTGTCTACAGTGTTTGCTTTAATAACCATGTCATTTACCCGATTTACGTGCGCAAATGAAAACAGAATATCAGTTGCAAAATAACACATTCTGAAGGGTTGGGAAAATACACTATTTGTGGAATACTTACCAGTATATTATGTCAGTAATATGAATGTTTCATCCTCCCATTATTTCTGTGGTAGCACCTATAGGGCAGGATATATGAACGATTCAAGGTAGCACGATTAATTAACTTGTCGACTTTTAAACGAGTTTTGTTGTATTTTGCTTAATTCCTGTGAATTCGCTTTTCGTCAAGCCAAAAAGCGATATCGGTGTATAGAAGATAATGCATATATTGTATTCATTCGCACACGCTTCTGAGACTCAATTTCCCTCTCATTGTGGCTATAAATTAAAGTTTTCTGTGCATGCCGAGGAGACATCCCATCAAGTGTTTTACTTTCATGTAACTGTTTGCAACTGTGAAACATTTTCTCTTTGCCCATAACAGCTATTATTTGGTAGTGAACATGAATCTGATTGCGATTTTGATTTTTATGCCAAACAGTCCGATTATCCACAAAGAGTTAGCTGTATTTTCATTCATCCTTTTGTATCAAAAGGAGAATTATAATATCTAGTATTTGTCAGGTTATTGGAAAAAATTAAGCCGTATGCACCCACCGGCGTTTAAACCCAAGACCTTCTGGTTACAAGGCGAGCTCGTAGACCATTAAGCCACTGGGACCCGATCCAATGGCCCATGAATTCTAACTTCTGCCACTTCACGATATAGCGCAACCGCTTCGCAATGTCTTCGATGAGTAACTGTCCTCACCTTCGACTTGCTGTACACTACTGGTTACGGCTTCCCACTCGAACCTCAGGTAACTGTCTTAATAGGGCAAGTCGCTAGTGAGCATCAGATCATTTTTCAGCTATTGGTTTGTAGGGATTGTGTTTGATTGGTTGGAGGATTTCATCATGAGCTGACATCAGTAACCAGAAGGTCCTGGGTTCGAAAGCTGCTACCTTGACGTGGTGGTCGGGCTTGAACACCGCAATGACCCAACAAGCTATACTGGCTGGAACTTATGTTCCTGCAGGTCCTACAATGCCAGGAACGTTGTTCGGATAGCGGTTAGACTAAAAGCAGTTACCCAATTCAACCCTATGACTTCAAACAAATCACAAAATATCATGCCGGATCGGTCGGGGCCCGGATTAACAACGACCGCGCTTTCTGCTGCCGTGTCACAGGGCAGAAGTGATAAATACGCTACTGAGACACACCAAATGAAAAAGAACAAACAAAAACAGGCCGTGTGTGGCCGGCCTCAAGCAGTTGTCCCCTGGGCTCTGCGGTCACGCAACCAACTTCCACGGTGTGGGCAGCCGGGAAGCAACAATCACCCTCACAACCCGAAGAGCACACGAAACCTCTCTATTCCTCACTCACCTTTGTCTTCATCTTCATCTCTATTATCTTACCTTCCTTCTACTAATGCAACTCCTCTACTTAATGGCTCTTCACTTCCTCTTCACAAGGTCCTGGGTTCGAACCCCGGTGGGTGCGTACTGTGAGGAGTCCCAAACTAGGACGGAACAGCCGTCCAATACTCCCAGGTTTTTCAATGGTCCTCTAACTGATATCAGCTCATGAAGAAATCCTCCAACCAATCAAACAAAAATCCCCACAAATCAATACTTGAAAAAATTAAACAGTTTGATAGTCTTGTGTCATGAAATACAACGACAAAATACCAAGAGTATCCGTCCATTTCGTTAAGTTTCATCCTACGACTGAAGACTTTTGAACGCATATTATTTGTGTGACTTTAATTTCTGTATGCATAAGCCTGACACAAATCGGTCTGTACTGTTGTTTTCAAAGTAGGTAGTTGTTACTTAGGTAACCAATAGAAACAAAGGTGCCTAGATAGCGGTTTCGTTCTCAAAAATATTCGGTTAAAACTGGCTATTCCTTTGTGCATAAACTGCTATGGGCTAAAAACAATCGGTACTTCTGGTGAACTTGTAGCTCTTTCAGTTGTGTAAAAAAACTTGAGGGTCGAATAAATGACCGTGAATCTCATAAGTAAGTGGTAGCTACACTGAGTAGTCTTCATCAGTTATTGTCTTGTATTTTCACTACCACATAGTTCGACATTTACCTGTCATTAGATTTGCACAAACACCATTTGATCACAATTATTGAATGAAGCACTTGGAAGCAACTCAAGCTGGAGTTACTGTGTCATTTCATACTGTGTTTAGGTTGTGTTCATTGTATGACCTTATCACTATCAGTAAGATACCAAAGTCAAGTAATTTTCAGGTGTTGGCTTGCTGACATCAGTTAGAGGACCGTTGGAAGAGTAGAGGTTACTCCACAACTGTTTCGTCCTAGTTTGGGACTCTTAGACAGTACACACCCACCAGGGTTCTAACCCAGGACCTTTCGATTACAAGGCTAGCTCGTAGACCATTCAGCCACTGGAACCCGACCCAATGATCCGTGAAGAAGTAATCATTGGCAGGCAGTAGAATTAAATATCGTGAATTGGCAGAAGCTGGAATTCATGGACCGTTGTATCGGGTCTCACTGACTAAACAGTTTGCGAGTTCGCCTCGTAATCTGGGTTCGAACCCCGGTGGGTGCGTACTGCTGAAGGGTCCTGAACTATGAAGAAAACTTTGTCAAGTGATTTTCGTTTAAATTTATCACTCATATTGTCAGGTTATTCAGAAGACATGATTATGATTGGTCTAGTAACTGAACACAATTATTCCAATGTATTTGAATAGCCTGGGAACATGTCTGATACAGTCAGTCTAACCCGATAACAGGACTGGTTTGTACGTTGACTCAGCATCGTATGTTTTCAAACAATCAGTAGATGAAGCAGTTCGAACGAAATGTATGCTTGTTAACATTTATCACACTGAACAAGCCTATACTGTCTATAACGGTGCTTCACAATTAAGTTATCTAGATCAGAAAACTTAAGAAAATCAAAATCGTGAGCGTAAAGAAAGCCTTCAAAACACATTATTTGTCAACATACTGAGTATAATTAAATTGTATTTTTCAAACTATAATAAGTGTCATGATCGTTATTGATGGTACGCAACATTTTATTTTCCAACTTAACACACGTGTTTATGTCATGTTTACTTATGTTGTCCTTACCATAGCCCAGTAACCTTTTGTGTTTCTGTATTGGGAGCAGTGCTCTATTTTCTTAAGTGTGATTTAGTCCAACGATGATACACACGGACATTTGAGTTTGAATATTTTTTTATCTTCACTCTGATTATTATTCACAAGTTCAGAATAACGGAAATGATACTCACTAGCATACCGCAAACATTTAGCCTTATTACAATGTTCAATATGATTGCACAGATTATGCTTGCTTTATGTTTCCTATTTAGAATCAGCATCATTCCTGTTTCGAAATTTGAGTGGGTTTTCTCTGAAAAAAAATTTAATAACAGTAATCTTCGATGATAATTTAGATTCATAAATCTCCCATTCACTAGCTATGGTCACTAGTTTTCAGAATCATCAAACGACAACTTAAAGAACTAGGAAATACTATTATTATTTGAGATATAGAAAATCTAACTAGACTTATGTTAATTAGCTTGAATGCCAAAGATCACTTGTAACAAAGTGGTTTTGAAATTCATCCTATAAAATAATTGTTATTGACAGGTTTTACAGTGGTTTCTCATCATGATCTATGCCTTCACACATCTTCCTCAACCTGTACTTTCTACTACTACTTTTGGGACTAATTGTGTTGTGTGTTCATTAGCCAACAAAAATCAGCAACAATGATCAACAGAAGACTGAGTACATCACTAGCCACAGCCTATCCTGCAGCGAAGTTGGTTCCCGTCTATCGGACAACATGCTCTTTAGTACAGTCAAAAGTCGACAGACCCCCTTCTCATGTTAACTTCAACTGTGTATACAAATTTACATGTATCTGTGGGAGCAGTTACATTGGGAGAACAGAAAGAAGGGCACACCTTCGATTTTCTGAACATGTACCGAAAAGCCTACGTCTCAAGGGAACAAACTCTTATAATAGTGCCATTACCAGGCATCTCCTTGATATGGGTGGAAATCGCGAAATCCTTTAAAATTATCAATAGACAAAGGAACTCGATTCTCCTCAAGTTTGCCGAAGCAATTTCTATCAAACGCTTGAAACCAGATTTATGTGTTCAGAAAGAAGCAGTTATCAGTCTTTCCTTACCCTGGTAACTGGATGTCTTTATTCTCTCTTTCATTTGATTACGCAATCTTTAGCTTTAAACTCACCCTCCTTGATATAGTGTAATTTTGCTTGTCTCTTGTTTCTATGATTTGAGTTGAACTCAGTACATTGTTACTTAATTAATTAGTCACTCGTCACCTTATGCATCTCTCGTCTTTATTACGTAACTCCTTTACCATTGTATGCATACATTTACTTCGTTTAAACTTGAACTTCCTGTGTAAAAACTACATAAGCGTAATTTTCTGAGCACTGTTCACTAAGTCCAAAACCTCCTGTCAACTGACATCATGTAAAATTTGCAAATATGTTAAAAGAATTTTCTGCACATAAATTTAATAATTTATTTAGGCTGTAAACAGATGATGAGAAGCCAACGAAATAAATGATAGTACCATATTATTCTGCACAAACCACTGTTGTTCTTGCCTTATTCAAATTCATCAAGGGGAATAAATGTATGAATTTTCTGAAAAATCAGATTCATTTGCATTAAAATAGACCGAAAACAGACTGATGAGATGATAAATGATAAGTCGCGAATTGACAGAAGTTAAAATTCATTGAATATTGGATCCCGTTCCACATGTCAACCGGTACACATCGTTACCTAAATGTGTTAGGTTCGACCCCTGATGGGTTCATTGGTATGTACTATGGAGGAGCTCCCAACTAGGACGAAACACCTGTTGGCTATTCTCTGGTTTCACCTAGTGTCTAGTCTATTGATCCAGTTACCAATATTGTGAAAAATCATTGGAAAATTATCCCAATCTTTCCTTTACCACCTGTGTCATTCACATTGTGTATTACTTACTGACTGGGTTTTTAAATCATCATGAGACATGCATTTTAGCGGACAACTTATAGAGTCTATGATTTATTGGTGTGTTTATTGTTTACATGGTCTTTGTGTACTATTGAATAACACACACATAAACTGAACATCTTAAATCTAAGTTTGTATGGCACATTGAGTTCAGTTATAATCAATGCTTGAAAAAAATAGTTTTAGAAGTACATTTTTCAGAAATATTCATTAATTCACATGATTTATTTGAATTAATGAATATTAGAGTGGCGATCGATAAGGAGTGAAAAATGACCTTGACATTGTTGAACACGTTTAAGTGCTATTGAACAACAACAATAATAATAACTAAGTACGTTATTTACTAGACTCATCGTAAATTTTATCAATAGTTTTAAGCTGTTATTTGTGTATTGCGAAGTGACTCAACAATGAATCGTAATTCCATACAGTTCTCAATGAGCCGCATCTATTGTGTAAGACAGTGATACTAACTGGCTGACCAAACCACAATAGATGGAGCGGAGTTCGAATCTGTTACCCACTGGTTGAAAGCCTAGTGCCGGAACCAATGTGTTACAGCTCTAATATTAGTGTATTCGAGTAAAAATATCAACAAACTGTTTTATCCTCTAATGCTTACTGTTGTATTCAGATCTCCTCACAGAATCTTATCTGAACTAGTAATTAAGACTACACATGTTCATTATTACTTTTTTGGCTTATTCAAATAGGCTTCTGCATATCACTCAATGGGATGGCGAGTTCAAAATGTTTCACCTACTGTAGCTCTACAACAGGAAGGTAGTACTATATACCGTTTAATAATGAAATGTAACTCATAATACTCACAAATGTACCAGACTGAGTATTGTATTTGTTGTACCGACAGATTTACATATTAAACACTCTTCACTGATAGTCACTTAATTTATCTTCGAAGCCTTTATCGTTCACGGTAGACTACAATCTACCATAATGCTTAACTAGTTACTTATCTTAGTACCGAACTATTTGAATCCTGGAGGTCATGAATTGTAATTAGTAGTGTTCTCTGAGCTGGTTGGTTTAGTTGCGGAGCTTTCGTCGTCCTTCTGGACAACATCTTCAGCGCAATTTTTAGCATAAACTGAACTGATTTAAATTTTCCATGAGTGATAGAATTGCGTCTCCCGGTAACCATCTTTACATATGTATTGATCATTTTCTATTGACTTGGATTTTAAACTTTCTGGTCACATGATCTACTTTTTATTAGTTGGTATATTTGGTCTATATTAACATGTTTGTTAATTGCATTTTCGTTTGAGTACCAGGCTCCTAGGAATTCCCTGGCACTTTTGGTGTTTCCTCTGTCTAAAATTTCGACATTATCCCAATCAAAATGATGTCCATAATTATCTATATGCATTGATATGAAAGAGTATATATCATGTCTTTTCACAGCTGATTTGTGTTCCTGGATTCTGATTCGAAGTGGACGCCCACTTTGGTCGATGTAATGTCTGTTACAGTTCATACAATTTATTTTGTAAATAGTATTAATTTTATCTCCTTTTTCTGTTGGATCTTTCGGTTTGCACAATATCGGATTGAGTGATTTGACTGGCTTGTGTGCTATATCTATTTCAAACGGTCTTAATATTCTAGCTGTTATTTCAGAGATATTTTTTATATATGGTAGGATGAATTTTCTTGTGTTTTCTAGTAGCACTCCTTAGTCTTGTTGTTAATCGTTATTGGTGTAATATATTTGTTCATCACTCAATTAGTTTATATAGGAGAAATTAACTGGTTCTGTTATTTTTTTTTCTGATGTTTACTTATTTGCACAGTTTATTATCAATGGGTGCCATTTGTACTTGGTCTACAGTGTATTATGTTTTATCTACCTCGATTAATTTGGCAAATGATATGCTACAATAGAGTTGGAACAGATGTACAACATTTAGTGCTTAGCGCTAATCAAGCAGTACACGCTAATGAAGAACAAAGAACTAAAATGGTACAACATTTGGCAAAGACATTAGAACAATTATTATTTCAGGTGAGCTTTGTTTTACCTTAGCTTTATCCTTTTATGCCACTATCAATCGTGAAATTAGTGTTCTTCCAATCAGTTATCGATCAGTTTGACCGTTATGGCATTTTTTTGAAAGAAACATATTTGTGTTTCATAGAGTCATATTTTCCAGTCTTTTTGTTCTTAACTATTATACCAATTTGTCTACAAAAACAGAAAGTTCGTGCACCTTCTAAAAATGTCATCACAGTCACACGATGTTTGATCCCAGTGTCATTTCATCTCTCGTCGGTTCATTATTTTTGATGCTTACACTATCCTCAAAATGACATAACTTGTCAGGATTCTGCGACAATGTGAAGACTGACTGTTTGTAAAGCTTTCGCTTTAAAAGTTCGATGCAATGGAATTCAGACCCATTGTCTATGGTTTTAATTTCCCCTATGACAATTCATCGTACTGTTTTGAAGCATTTGAATAATTCATCTGTAAGTACGACTTCATGTTCCCATTGTTTATCTTCATGAAAGAAGGCAGTTACGTGTGTAGCGTACTCTGAAAATAAGGTATGTATCTGGATTCAGAATGGTGAGATTCGTTTCCCCCTGTGACCTAATATTTAACAAACACCTTGGCAAAAATAAAATCATTGTGTTCACTTCTGAAGAGCTGAAGTGTTATCAGGAAGGAGGAAAAATAGTGGAGAAAACACATTACACTAAAGGGTTACATCACTTTGTAAAGTTGATCGGTACATTTCCATTAGTGTTCTCTTCAGTCGTACATCGGTTTTTATCTTATAATGAATCGGTGGAGAAAACAATGTTTTCTCTCTTCTTCTTTTACAGCTTATCCATACAAGATAGTTTGCACCAAACTCTTCTCAAATACTTTGTGCATCATACAGTCATCATGATAATTATCTTTACATAATGTTGAGAGGTGAACGTCAAGTCTCATATGAGCGCACTGAAAATAAGACCAACGTTTTTGATCAATGTTTATGACTATGATTCTGCTGGAGTACTAACCCCTGTGTGTTTGAATAGCACTCGTTCCAAAAGCTCTCTTCCATTATTTTTGTAGTTGAACTGAGTGAGACTGTTGTACAGGAAGCATAGCTTTCCTTCGAATAATAATAATAATATCCAGCTTTTCTGAAGTTAGAAGACTCTCTGAAGACTTACAAAGTGATTATTTTCTTCTGTGTTCCAGAATAGTTCGATAACATTACGCGAAGATATCAGATTAGGAAAGAAGACAGAGATAATAGAAAATTCCTTTCTATAAAGGCCTTGTAAAAGAAAGATCCTGGTAAATGTATATAAACCGCCGTTATCCTACACATAAGTGACATTTGTAACAGGTCTCCAGTCATTTACCGCTTATAGTTTTCAAGGAGTTAGGTGACCATCGAAAAGTGATATATAAAGGTTACTGAAGAAGCATTCATATTTGTATCACTATTGACACATTATTATCAATCAAAACGCCTATTTTATTTTTAGTTTATATTCAATAAAACTGATCAGAGTATAAATAAAATTACAGTAAGTTTCAAGCATCAACATGACTATAAACTTGGAATGCAGTTTCTTCATCTTTTTGTAACGCTTACTGAATCATTTGATAAAAAATAAACGTCATCTAGTGAACTTATCATCTTCATTCCAAGGTTTAAATCATCGGTATTCATTGTGTAGATGGTAACCGTTTGCTACTTTCCATTGACATTTTTTTCATGAATGTCATCAGAATCTGAAGCAAGCATCTCTGAAATGTACAAGCAATTAGAAGTTTAAAGGAGAAGGCAAACATGAAGAGTTTCGACTACATGTGTTGTTTTCAATTTTATTAAGCTTGCACGTCTTGCTTACTAGCAGACATGATAAAAACTAGGGTCTTGCATTACTGTATAGTGAGTGGTCCAGTGAAGTCATATTTTATATTTGCACAACAGGTAGAAGATAGAACAAAAGCAAATTAAAGGGTGATGATGGGACGATCGATTGTCATACAGCGTTGTGAGACAAAAGACAGAAGGCCAAACTCGATGTAGAAATGTGTCATTGCAATTAGGATCATCCGCTTTGCTTCCATGGTTTTCAGTCATTTCGCCTGATGCCTCTAACCACATTCAGACAACACACATAATTCAAAGTAATATGTAACAGGAATACCTACGGTCATCTGACGTATAGAGACATCATACTGAGTATCTACCAGGCGATGGAAAAATTACAGACTCGATTAAAGCCTGCTGCTTACTATTTGTGGTATAAATTTTCAAGCTTTTACTGTCTACAGAAAGTGAAATCACTTGATGAAATCTCAAATATTTATTTCTTCTAGGATTTAGCTTTCCTCACTACTAAAGTTTGAATTCTTCAGAGTTGTCAGATTTCAGAAAAATAAACACTATATCTGGGTGAGGGATAAACAGTTTGAAAACTGTAACTACTATATTGGTGTAGTCAAAATGTTCACATTTTATGTAGCTTGTTCATTACAGATGAGTAAATATTTTTCGATGTTTGAATTTGCATTTGAATCGTCATTTCTTCATATATTATCATGTGTCAAAATTGTCTCAGTGCTCATAACTGCTTCTGTCATACTGCTTTGACTGACGTTTCACTGTTTGCTAGTCATCTTTTTTATCTTCAGTGTTTCTGACTTAAACATAACCCACAGTTATCTTCTATTTGAGGTTGTCAACCAGCACAAATCAGGTCTTCTTTTGTTCTGTCACTTTACATAAGTGACGCTAAGTACCAGTTTTATAGGTAATTAATTTGTCGTTGATTATTTATCATAGCCCTGACGTTTCAAAATAAATGATTACTTGTGCTCGTATGGGACTTGGTTAGACTGACTGGCCTTTGGATATCTACTTGCAAGATATTCAGAGTTTGCTGAACTCTTTATTTTAACATAGTGAAGCAATTACATTGCTTTGGGAGTCCTCTAACTAAATAATAGTAACTCATGTTAGTCCAGCAGTTTAATGCTGTGGTTGAAACCATGGCAGATGAAATTCTCGCGTTGTATTACCGATGTATAAATGATGTAACAAAATAAAAATGCATGATTAGCAACTTTATCTAACATTGGATGTGTGATACTAGAAATATGAAATGTTTAGAAATTATCGTTGAGTCTTATCTGAAGTAGAGTTAAGTGTGGTCAGGTTAAAACTAAGCATGAGTCTCTGAAACGTTTAACTTTGGGAAAACGTGAGTCACCTAGCTGGGTTTTTCATGATGCCAAGAATTAGTAATTGAAGGTTGCTGATTATGAGTGCCACAACCATTCAGAATGGTACGGATGTATTTACTTGTCATCATATCTGGAATTTTTAATATTAACGCTAATCTTCATGTCATTATTCCTAAGCCTATCACAATCATTTTTGTCCATTACAGTATCATTCACTTTCTGCTTACAAGTTGTTTGTGCAATACCCCCTAATGTGTCAACCTGGTATGATGCTTTTTCGTATATGGTTCTTTGTTGATCTATCTAAATGCGTAATAAGGTTATTAATTTCCACGTGTTACTCATCTATTCCTGCTTTGAATTACCTTCATCTGATTTGCTTAATGAGTACCCTTATAATTCCTTGAAAAATTCTTTGGGATCCTGTCTACTTATTGCATATCCATCTGTAGATGTTTGTTCTTTTACCGTGTACCAGCTGTTTACTGTTTTAGAACTCAACATTGTTCATACACCGACAATATGATTTTTTGTATTCTTCTATCAGCTACTCAGATTAACTACAGTAGTGTATTAATACTGGATATTTATCAGGTAAACCGGTAATGCGAATTGGGTGAATAACACAGAGTTGATTTCATCCATCTTTCACTGCTTTAGAAAAATATTTTTATTACGAATGGTATCATAAGAAATGAAGATTACTTTTTAAAGAAATGGATTAACTCATTTGACTTGTGCATATTTGAGTTTTACTGTAAATGTAACAGTTGAAAGGCTCGTCTACCTTTAATGTTCAGGAAGTCATAACAGAGGTCACTAGTGGCATATGATGAGATTGAGATAGTTGTGATTTGGTAGACTGTTATTGGTGCAGTGGTTGATGACAGAAGGTGAAATGAAAATTTGGGTCGAGGGTATGGTTCGAACTAGCAGCCCCCGGATCAGTAGTCCATCACTCTACCAGCTGATCTACTAGACCCCACTGCTAACCAGGTCATCATTTTACCGTGACTATCACAAGCAGTACCCATGTAACTATCCATTTATCATCACTCTAACTGCCCAATTAGGTCTTTTCACATCAATCCTAATCATAATGAATAAGAAGGAGAAAAGCAGATGGTTAATTGATGTCGAAACCATCTGGGATAGCTCTTCTCAGTTGGTAGACCGCTAGTGATACCATGCCTGATGATTAGTAGTTACTTCTCATAGATGAATTAGTACAATTCCGGATTTTTACCTCAGAGAGTGTCGGTTTGAATTCTGACAAAATTAGGTGAGATAAGATTGGCCTCACTCTGCAATTTGCACCATCCTTTTACATATGTTACTAACTAACCTATGAAATTTAACTGTCGACTTAATTCTCAGGCTATGACTTGAACCATTTCCTAAATTAAATTATTATTATTCTCTTCATTATATTAACACCCGATATATGATTAACCTTCAAATAATAATAACTTACTGACTGAAATGAAAAAAGTCAGAAAATAGCTAAAAACTATTTACAAATAGGGTATGCATTACAGTGTACCGTGAATTCAACAGAAAAGAGTCTATATAGTATAAACACAAGTTCACCGGTATAATGAAACCTTTCTCTTCTAAATACAATTCATTTCTTATATTATAGGTTAAGTATGAATGAAATTTGTGTAGGCAAAAGATACGTAAATAACAAACAAAGCCGTAAACAGTAAAAGTATTTTCTTCGGTTTTACTGATACACTAAACTGCATATATATATGATTAATATGTCTAAATATAAGTGGGATTTCCCTTAAAAATTCTGTAAA